GAGAATAAAGTTAAAATTTGGCATCACACCACACCCCCTCCCTTACAAAGGAAAGTTAAAGGCTCAACTTACCTGTGACCTGGACTTCTGGGAAGGTCTTGGCACCAGAAATGGTTTGGGTCTTGTCTGTTCTCAGGATCCTTTCAAGGTCAAACTGAAAGGGCATTTTATATGAGCCATTTTAAACACTAGCATATATATACACATACATCTCCCTTACACCAACACTATGCAGCTTACCACATCCGAATCCTGTAGAGTATTTGTAACCGTGTCTGCTTGCAAGCTAGAAGCTTCAAGGTTATCCAGACTCCAAGATGCAGTTACCCTTTGCTCTGTACAAGTGTTCTTTAGAACATCCTCTGCCAAGGTAGAGAAGTCCTCACCATTTATCAACCCCTAGAAGACAAACTTAAGGTTAAGACAACTTTCTAAAAGAATTTATATAAGGAGGAATCTTGTCAATGCCAGAATGTACCTTCATTATGATGTTTGCATTCCCAGTGACCTCGGCACTATCCATGTCCTTTACACTAGATACAGTGTTATCCATGTCACTCAACCAAAATACACTGGCAAGGGTTGCAACATTCTCATTGTTGAAGGAATTGCTGATATCCAAGTCCTTATTGAACACTGCATTACCTGCAATATTTTAAAAGTTTACACCAGTTCTTTAAACTGGACCCCAATTTCAAAGAGGTTGGGCAAATTTACCTACCATTTACTACAAGGTCTCCCATGAGCTTTCCATTCTGCATGAAGGAGCTACAGAACTGGCTCATTTCAAGCACCAGGGGTTGTCCACCACCTACTCTAGGAACAATTACAAATTCATTTACAGTGGCACTGTTTTTGATGTGGATGGGCTGTGTAAACCTCTTCTTGCCAGTAACCTGCAAAACAAGATCATGTCACTCCAGAAACCAGTAAAATCTTTGTGTAAAAGACCCAACTGTTATGAACTAACCCTTTGATGTGTTAACGACGACTGCAAGGCCTGCTCATGAAGATGCCATCCCTGGATAGTTCCATCCAACGTAATGGGAGAGAGCGACTCCACCTCAACTGGAATTTAAGTTACATGCACTTCAAGAGGCACTACAAGCTCTTTATCACCCCTTTCTTTCAGGAGGCATTCGCAAAGTTGGTAGGAGACTAATAGCTCACTTACCAAATGTTGTAGAGTTCAGGGTGGTTTGTTCATCAATCTTGGCAGTCATGGTGTGCAAGCGGCCAATGTCTACACTATCAATGTAGGTTCCTTGGAAAGTCACAGCAGATGCAGCAACATTTGTCAGGGAGTTGGTTCCAGTCAGAGTCTGGGGACCTTCCTTTAGGAGCCAAGCAGACTTGTATGCTTGTTCCGAGACCCCATCAAAGTCACCTGATAACAGGGTTGTATTGTTAGCAAGATAAAAGTTAAATTTATCTGCCTTTACATATCTAATCCCCCCCCCAAAAAAAAAAAAAAACACTAGACTCACTTTCGAAGTTCAAAGAGGCTACCGAAACCGAGCCACCAAGTGTTAAGCCACCAGAAATGGTCTCCGTTGTATCCTTGTACACAACCTTCCGTTCAAATGCAGAGAGGTCAGTTCCTTCAGCATTATCCGCTACTATGGTGTTCATGGTCCTACCAACCAACTCCTGGGTTGTAGACACTGAAATAGAGTTCAAAAAATTATATGATTTAGCACCCTTGCTAAGAAGCTCTGGGCATTTGCGTCAAGTACTTCGCAACACCTACCGGATTTCCTCAGGCTGTCATCGAAGAAGATTTCTTTGATCACTACTCCATCAACAGTTCCAAAGTTACCCACATTAACAGCACCAGCAGATGTTGAAGAAGTTACTTCTACACTTGTGAAAGTCTTCTGGCCTGAAATACAAGAGTCAGGATGTAATCTGCCCCCATCATAGCTTTTTGAAGGGGATGCTTGTATAGCTCCCCTTAACCACTGCCTACAAGCTTTGTAGGCTCTTTTGAAGTTACCTGTAGCTATTCTATTCACAGGAAACTAAGGCAGTATTCACAGTTACCATTATCAATTCATTACCCTTGAAATGTTGACAATTACATTTCAGAAAATTATGCACTGCATTAGAATAGCAAATTAATAAGTTTGAAGAACCCTAAATCGAGTAGTGGGTGTCATGCTGGCAAGTGCAGTGCATGCCGGTAAGAGTAGTAGAGTGTAACTTGCCAAAGTGGTACAATCTTTCGATTTGATAACCTGGAGTGAAAGCTGTTGGTCCTGCAAGCCCACTTGCCTGTCACGGTTTCAGTTGCATTAAGAGCGACGACACTGTCAAAGTTGACACCTCCAATGGTTATTTGGCCAGCTACATTCAGGTCACCATTCACATCTGCTGAAGTCATTGACAAGTCTTGGAGAATGTTTTGTGCAGAACCCTTCTTGAGCACTACATCGCCTGCAAATTCGGCCAGGTCATAACCACTGACCAGACCTGCCGTCACATCTTCACGACATTCCTGGAGAAGGCAACAACCATGAAGTATAGATGGAGCAATTTTAATTTATAGTAGAAAAAATGCAATTGAAATGATACTTACCATATCTGACACAAAAGTCTTGGGAGAGACAATGGTGTGGTCAGAATTTAGGAGTACGTAATCATCCTTTCCAACTCCATTAATGGTTGACGAAACAGTCAAGGCACCATTAATCTTGAGAGAGAGAGAGAGAGATTAAATCTTATGTAAGATCTGGTAGTTGCAAACCTATTCAGCATATTTATTTATATTAATACATCCCCTTTACAAGGCTTTAGGGTCTTACCGAGACAGGCTTTTCAAAGGTCAGAGCAGTAGTCAAGCTGGTGGCAGTGAGGGGAACGGCTGTATCCCTGATCTTACTGATACTAACACCATGGATCTTGTCACTAGTAACCTCCAGTTCCTTCTCAAAGATCACCGAGCCATTCACAGCTCTTCCAGCTGGGGAGGGGAGCAAGATTAAATTGGTCTGTCTTGCATCTTGTGTATTGTGTATTGTGGATGGCAAATTTTGCATGCACAGTTACATACCATTAAGGTCGTTCAAGAACTGTTCATGAAGTCCTGTTGCTAGGTAATCCAAGTCGTAGCCAGCCACTAGGTTGGCCACAGTAGAGTCCTTCTCCAGTGTTAAACTAGTGAAAGTCTTCTTTGAAAGAGTTGCATCCTTGTGGAGCAAGAGGAATTCCAAGCTACCTCCCACTTGCTGCAAGAAAATGGCAAAGATTTTTTTTTAAGAGTCCATGGCAAGTTGGGCTATTTTGCCATTTGTACCAAGACAAAACAACTTACCTTGACATCATTCATGGCATTTGTTACTTGTATGCTCTGTGCCGAGATAGAGTCGAAAGTAGTGGGAACCGATATCGTCACCGTTTCATCCTTGAGGAATACATCATCTGGCACCAAAACACCATTCAGGTTGTCAAACCAAACTCCATTAGTGGCCTCCAGGCTGCCAACAGTATGGAGCCCTGAAATTAGCATGCAGGAGTAGAGTCAATTCACTCCTGGTAGAGCGACTTGGCTACAGCAAATCTTGCTTTAGTATAAAAACGTACCTGTAACCACTTGGGTGGCTGTAGTGGTGTGAAGGAGTGCACGAGCCTTTACATCAACAGGGTTAAGGGGGGTCATGTCTTCCACAGTAATGATGTTGGGTGCTACAAGATCGTCGCCCACTTCCAGTAATCCTGGTGGATAAGATTTACATGTAAATAAAATCTCATTTGAAGTCCAAGGCACTTGGCAAGTTCAACTAGCGGGTACTCCTTGCCTTCAAAGGTATCCGTGGTGCCATTCACAATGAGAGAAGCTACAAAATCATTGAAGTTCCTGCCATTGACATTTGTAGTGCTTATTAGTGTAGTATCAGCACCATCCACTGTTACCAGTCCATTTACAGTTTGTTCACCATAGGTCAGTAGAAGAGTAGAATCGTCCACAGTCAAGGCATCAACTGAAAGTCAAAGGGGACTTTTAATATAGGGTTCATGTCAACCTAGACTAATCCAGGATGCTTTTAACTAGTACAAGAGGGCGTTTGTAGTTCAGTTCTAGCCAATTTGTTCCAATATGACTTCCTTACCTGTACCAGACACTAGCATGTTGTCCGTCAGAACCTTGTCAAAGGCAACATTTGCAGTTATGGTGTGGTCCTGGTGGAGGGTTACTAGCTCGCTCATGGGAATGACGGGCGTGTCATCAGCCTTTATATTGTCTACAAAGGCTACAGCACCTCCTGCTACTGCTACTTCAGCAAAGGTTAGGTTCAGCTTCACATTCGTGTTATCCAGTAGGGCAATGCCATCATATGATGCTACAACACCATTGACCTGACAAATTTAAATTTTATTAAAATTTAATCTTACCCTGTTCACTGTAGTTTTTATTTAAGAAAAAAAAATAAAAAAGTCTTACCGTAGTGGCCGTCAGAGATTCTACCGAACTGGCAACACATCCTGGTGTACTGCATGTAGTAACCAGATGAGCAAAGTGAAGTCCATCTGACAAGAAAGTAATATTAGAGTTCAGACAGTCGCACAACTAGTGAAACACACATGGTTCCCATAATGTTGCTTACCCAAGTCTGGGTTGTTAATGGATCTGGATTGGGAGACGGTGTTGCTAACACCTGCAAGCCGAAGCTCGAGAGCTTTCCGGTCGTCAATCAGGATCCTTGTGTCATCATGGAATTTGTAGTCTACCACCGTGGGTTCAGACTGACACAGGATCTGTCAATAGAGGATGCACCGATAGTTTAGGTCATGGATCTGAAACTCAGTATTCACTGCCCTTTACAGATAAAGTTGCAGTTTTAGAGTCAATCTAGTTACTACATTGCCACTTACATCTTTTACTTCAGATACTGCCGGGCCTGCAGGAAGAGTAAGGCTACCATCGATGTGTACATGTTTCGTGAAAGTATGGCTTTCGTTGGTTTTGGGGGCCTGTTGTACATCCAAAACAAGTTGTGACAGCCCATCAGTGGCCATTTCAGTCTTGTATGCAGAGCACCATTCAGCAGTGGCATTGTGGTAAGTCTGCAGGGGAAGTTACTTGCATTAGCACAGTTAGATTACAGCAGAGTTTAAGCAGAGTTTAAGACATCTTGTACATGTGCAGACAAGGCCAACACCTACCCCAAGTGGATTCTGGTATGTAAACTCCAGGTAAGAGGAGGCTGGTCGTGGGTTAGCCTGGCTTGTCGACATCATGAAGAGGGCCTTGTTCAAGGTATTTGGCAGGTTTCCAATCCATGCCCATTCTACTCCCTAGCAGAAGAGAGGAAGGGTTTATAGTCTAATTCACACAAGAGGAAGTAACCCAGTACATTAACCCAGGTTTAGACTTACTGGAGCTGGTATGGGGATATTTAGCCTGACGAAGCGCCACCCGTTGTACTGGTACAAGGCCACACCAGATGCACTGTTCACTACACCCAGCACTACTTCACCATGCTCTCCCTGGAACAAGGTTCAAGCATTTCAATCCTTATGCTTGTTTTAAGCAGACGAGGATTTACATTTCAAATTCAGAGGATACTGGTGCTGCCACTAGTCTTAGCATACTAAGCCTCCTTACCTTGTAAGTAATCCACTGGTATGCACCTTGGGTTGGGATGCACTGGAAAGGCAAGAATTTCTCACTGGCTTCGTCATACCTATAGATGACCGAGTCAATGT